AGGAAGAATGGGCTGGCACCACGTTCACTTAGTCGTTACCACTGTCAACACAGGCTGGTTTGAAACTGGTCACCCATGAGGAATAGTTTTCTAATTCATGACTAATCCTTGAAGCCACGCAGTACATGTCTTTCTCTCATCTATAGGATTTAATTGTAGCCTTAGATAATGTTTAGCAGGTGCTTTTGTTTGTGTCTTTCAGCCAAAAATGAAAAATATCTTATTCCACTGACTTTTGACTTTTTCAGTCCTTAATCCATTTGTTCTGATACTACTACAGTGCTTTTTTTAGCATTCAGGATAAAATTAAATTTGTGGCATTTTATTCTATGTTGCTTTCCGCTTCTTTTTTTTTTTTTGAGAATATTACAGTTTTTGAGAGTATTACCAAGAAGAGAGGTATCTCCTGTCTTGTGCTAACCCATGAAACACAGAGAGGGCTGTGCAGTAGTACCAGGGTTTATGTAAACAGTAGAAAGCAGTCACTGAGGACAGAATTGATGACACTTGCTTCAGAGATGTCTGTATTGGAGGCTGTGTGGCAAATTTTTGCTGTGAGAGCTGAAAGATGCAAACATACATGAGCAGACATGACAGGCTGTACAGCATGGAGTGACGTCAATAGACCTGTCAATTCATCTGGCGAAAAGTAACAGCATAGCTGAAGGCGAGGCAGGTGGGATGTATCGGTGTGGATCATATTAAAGCAATCCCCTTGGCCATCCTTTTTGTCTTACGCATACGTGCAGCTTGCTCCTATTCTGGAGGTCTATCTTCCTCTTTAAAAACCTTTGTAATTGGGAAACTTAGAAGATAGGTGTTCTTGTTTGCAGTGGTCACAATGAACATTCATCCTTAGTTTATTTCCGAGTTGTGCTTATATCTAAGCTGTGGGAATGAATTGAATGTGCCATCCAAGCTTATCTGTTCTTAGAGCTCATTTCCACAATATATTACCCTCATGGAAACTGTTTCCTGCTCATCTCTGTTTCTTCCTACTTCTACTTTTCTGGTGCTGTTCTCTTTGGTTTTTCTCTGTACACAGCCTTGTTAATATTAGAACAGGAGGTGTTTTTTTTTTCCTTGGTAACATCTGTGCCAATCTCCCTGTGGTTTTCTACCTTCTCAGTTCTCCATCTTTTTTCATGTAATCTCGCCCATAGTGTCCTGTGTCCCTGGAATACACCTCTTGGTGCTTGTGTCCCTGTAGTTTCTATATTGCATGTACATTCCTTAGGCAAGTTGAAATTATTTCGGGATGCAGTGTGACTGAAAATCACTATACAGCTGAGTGGCCAAAATCGATCTTATGAGCAGGTGACTCCTCTGACAGGGCTGCGTCCTGTAGCTGGCAGAGGGGCTGTGAGCTGGATCCTGCATGTGGGAGCACATGAACTGCTGGGTATCTGGGGATTCCTTGGGGTTTAGCTGTGTGCCTAGCTCAACGCTGCCCAACAGTTAAGGGATGGCACCCACAGGCATCGTCCTTATCAGTCTGTGCTCTATGCCTGGAAATCATCCTACATGCTGCTTGGGGTAGGAACTTCACTTCCAAGGACTTTACAGTTAATGACTTTGTTAGTTGCTTGGTCTCTTGTTTATTTTTATTTTCCCAACCTTGATAGATTTTAGCCCATCATTATTACAGGGTTTTGCTATTGAGAACTGTGTCATAAAAAGCAGTTATTTTCAGTCTTGGTATTAGAAATATGAGCATCTTGAAGGACCTGGTGTTTACTTTAATTTTGCACCTCTATGAGCTCTTCGACAATACAGGATCAAAACTATATTCATGTTTGTTGTTAGTTCAGAAGTTAGGAGTTGAAGGTAGTAATGAGTTTAGACCTGGTTTATAAATGTAAATAGGAATTAAATACATTATCCGCAGAAACAGAGGTTGTGTCAGGTAGATACTTTATGGAAGACTTTAATTTTGCACCTCTACGAGCTCTTCAACAATACAGGATCAAAACTATATTCATGTTTGTTAATCTTTCTGTTGAGGGTTTGGCATATCTGGAACACCATTTGTTGGAGCATTGGCTAAAGCCAGTGATAGATCCTTTCACGTTTCTCCCAAAAATCGTACCAAGGAAGTCCAGCAGGTCTTATCAGGAAGACCCTT